TTCAACAGAAAAAAAATATTGTAGGGAATGCAGATGTTTTAATTTGGATGTAATAATGCATATTTAAATTACATGGGAAAATATGTATTTCTGTAGTTAGTTTATTTAACATACATAGTTAAGATATACTCTCAGTTCATACTAGGGCTGCGCGATATTGGAAAAAACTGACATTGCGATATTTTTTCCCCCTGCGATATATATTGCGATATGAAAAAATACAGGAATTGAAGAAAATACAGTTTTTTTTGTCCGCAAACCATCCTTTCTTGAACTTTAATGCTATACAATTGGTATTTATTTTTTTAACGATATTTAACCGGATGAAGGATTTTAGTCACGGACGTCTGGATCTTAAGTTATCAGAGCAACAAGCTGAGCTAGCTCGGTTAGCAGCAACGAACTGCCTTGGAGAAACACATGAAACTACTTTATTCAGTGTTTTTACCTTTAATCACCGGGTCCGTTTGCTTTGGAGATTTGATTTTGATTGGTGGTTTGCTGTGCATGCAGAGCCTGAGAAAAATAAAAAAAATCGCACGTCCTGCGATATGACTATCGTGCATGCGCATAACACGATTATCGTCACGACACGATATATCGTGCAGCCCTAGTTCATACCAACAACAAACAAACAACAACGTTGATATATTTTATGCAGTCCCTAATAAAAGTACATTTGATGTTATTGTTGAACAGTTACGTTTTTCTCTGCACTGCAATTTCTACACTTCACAATGTTCATTTAGTTGGATAAGTTGCATGGTTTAGAAACAGATATTTTCAGGACAATGTAATGATCATTAAGAAGCTGTTACAGTAGTTACAGTAGTAATGATGTCTCACACTGATATGAACAGTATTACCAGTACAAATCCCAATTTATTTATTTGTTTTTATTTCCTGCTCCACAGCGAGACTCCGAGGCATCCATGATGGGTTGTTCACCGGGCAGATCGATGCCGTGGACACCAGCGCCGCCACCTACCGCGTCACCTTCGACCGCAGCGGCCTGGGAACACACACTGTGCCTGACTACGAAGTGTTGGTAAGGACCGCCTCTTTCAACACAACAGCTCTCCTGAAAGTGTGTTTGACATTAGACAAGTTGTAGGAGCCATGTCAGAGAGGGGTGATTTCTTTTAATTTAATAGGGTTTTTGAATGTTAATATTTTGGCATTGGTGTTTGTTTATAATATTATGACTTATTATTTTGTGATCAATTAAGCGTTGGATTAGTTGGACGACACTCATAGTGATTATAATCACCTTTTCACCTGTGTGAGGTGTGATTATTCAGAAAATATATTTGTGCAAGTTATAATATGTTGATAATATTTCTTAAAGTAAGATTTTGTTGAATGCATTTTTGGATCGCAGCGTTTATTTTTGATGGCGCCTCTGACAAAGGCAACCAGGCCCGACCTCAGCCTCTCAGCGACTATGTTTGTTCCTGAAGTTGCTACACAAGTAACAACTTGAGTTTGCTAGTCTTTTTTTGTATTAGAATGTCCTTGTAAAATAAGAAACTGTCATGATACAAAGATGTGCAATATTTGGACTTAAGGAATGTGTTTTGAAACCTCAGATGATATTGTGTTTTCCAGAGCAATGAGCCCAATGAGACCATGCCCATTTCAGCCTTTGCCCAGAAGCACCGGATATCTCGCTACATGCATAACGTCATGACTCCGCCCAGAGGGCCGTACCCGTCCGGTACGACTCCTGTCCTCATGGTACTGTCAACCTCCTACACTGGCAGCTTCACATGTGCTCTGTACGTTTTTATATATTAACACACAGCCCATTCATTCTGAAGAGCTGTAGCTGTAAATGGATTTATGCAAAATCTAACTTGGATATGCTACACAGTTCATGCCTTGGTACACTTCATCAAGTTCAGTTCTAAATCTACTGAATCTCTTCCTCTTGATTGCTTATGAAGATCAATGAATGAATTGTCCTTTTTAATGTTTTGTAATAACAGGATAATGACCCTCTTATCAACCTGTCACCGTGGAGGAACAAACTGCCTGGTGCTGAGGGAGATACTCTGGGGGGATTTCCTGTCAAGTTCCTCGTCCAAGTGGTAAATACGTCCTGTCAAATGGAACAATAAAAATATCCTAAACCTGTGTAGCGCTTTGTTTTAACTAATTATTTGTTTATTTTTTCCATGACTAGACAAGGCTGTCGAAAATCCTCATGATCAAGAAAGAGCACATCAAGCACTTGAAAGAAATGAACACGGAGGCAGAGAAACTGGTACATCATCATCATCATCATTTTAGAAAAAGGTGCTCCAAAAGCTGTTAAATGTTGTCTTGGGATGCATACATCAAAACTAACTATGGCTATGGTTGTGTTTTTGTGCTCAGAAGTCGTACTCGATGCCTATTGACCTGGACTTCCAGAAGCGATATGCAACCACAGTGCTGGAGCTAGAGCAGCTCAATAAAGATCTCAACAAGGTGCTTCACGAGGTCCAGCAGTTCTGCTGTGATGTAAGTGCAAACAAAAACATGATGTAAAACCCCTGCAGCCAAGTACAGAAAATAATGATTCATTGTGACCTTTCAGTCAAAGTCAACTTTATGTCAATTTCTCTATGTGTGTGATACAAACAGAGAAATCGAAATGCTGTTAAAATCCAGGTCTATTTCATGCCCTGATATTCTGATATAACAGTGCCTAGTTTATGACGTGAATCATTAATATGTCCGTCCAGCTGGCTCCGGATCAGGGCATGGTGCCAGCCGATCACCCCACAGAGCTGCGGCGGCGCTGCGAGGACGAGGCCCAGCAGATGGTGCAGCTGAGCAACTCTCTGAAGGACGGACAGCAGAGTGTGACCAACCCCAGCCTCACACAGCTCATGTCCCGCCTCACTGCGCTGCTGCTACAGATCAAGGTGGAGGAAATACAAACGCTCAGCTACTGTCTGCTTTCAGTCCTGAATACATGTTCTCTAACTTATGGCAGGAGGAACATCTATGTCATATATTAATGGCAGAGACATTTAAAAAAATACACATGCGTTAATAAGTCTTTTGTGAAGTTTCTTTAGCAGTTGTTTATGAACAGTTTTTTAATATTAGTCCTATGCCTTGATAACTTGTTAATTTTTATTTTTTGTCTGGTTTGTTTCAGTGTCTGGCTGATGGAGGAGACTTGAATTCTTTTGAGTTTAAATCTCTAACAGACTCCCTTAATGACATCAAGGCGTCGATTGATCCCTCCAACCTCAGGTAAAAGAACCTGCACTGTCTTTATCTCCACTTCCTTAGTTACACTAAACAAACAGTGGTTGATAGGATGGCTCACCATTTTCTATTTGTGCCAACGGCAAACATGAGTAACTTAATATGGTCTTTTATTAGCATTCAAATCACTATTAAGTCAACATTCAGTCAGCCACAAGTACTGCATATTTCCAATAACAATTTATTTCTGTGACTTTCTTCTTTCTTTTTTGCATTTTAACAAATGATATACCATAGTTATACTGGAGTCACAGACCATATGGATACTTTTACATAGAAATAGAAAATATAAAGAAATGTCATTAAAATAACAGATTTCATAAATATCTGCATGGGGTATACAGTATATCGTTCAATTAGGAAACAACCATGGATATACACACACACACACACACACACACACACACAACCGTCACATTTTACAGGAGAACAATGTTGTGTGTTGAAAACCTTACTTATATTCCCATATTTTTCGAAGCTATGCACTTATTTTCTAATTATGATGGCTATATTTCACTCCATATTTTTGATTACCCTAATTTCCATGTGGAGTTAATTGAGTCACCATGTTTTAACCACTTCCTGTTTATAGTTGCTTCCAGAACAACGTTGAGATCCACGTGGCACACATCCAGAGCGGCCTTAGTCAGCTGGGCAACCTGCACGCATTTTCTGCTAACAACACCAACGCAGTCTGAGTGTCCCCCCCCCCACACGCAGAGGTGCGGTCCATTAACATCGTCTTTTGAGGTGGTGCTTTCACTTGAACTGATACAAGACTGCAAACATAAATAACTCACGTGGATGTTTTGGACCAGAAGGTTGCAATCTGAATGTGGATGTTTCTGGGAAACGGCTCAGAGTTCTGCCCCGACTTCTGACGTTATTTCCTGAATGGATGATGTCGTAAGTATTTTACCCACCCGTTTTATGTTAGGAGAATGTTGGTGCACCCAATTAAACACAAATCTGAAAGAGCCTTTAGCTATCGCCACAAATCCACATCTACAACCTCTCCATGGTTATTTATTGGTTCCATGTGCCAAACATTGATTCTTACTGTTTTTATAGTCCATATTTATTTATTTTTTAGTAGGTGTTCATGGTTATTAAAATGATATTTTGCTATCTCTAAAGTTTCCCCCTGTAAGTGTTGTGTTCTGTTGCTCCGCGGATGTTAAGCACAGGGAGGCTAAAGAATGTTTTATGAAATTGTTTATTGTAGATAATTGTACAATATTTCTGATTATTAGGACTGTTGTCTACATTTCTGCCATGTAATCAGAAATGGCTTTTGTAATTTTGTGTGCACTGAAAAGAGATTTTGGTATTTTTATAAAGGAGAACTCTGGGGGTTTTTGATGCCTTTTACTCCTTAAAATTATATTGGCATTTCCATATTTGGCATGGCTGTTGCTGCACCCCCCCCCCCTACACTAAGCCTGCATCACTGATGTAAGCCCACGAAAAATTCAAGTCAGCAGTTTTTTCCTAGAGAATCTCCTTTTTCAGTTTTTGTAAAGTTGTATATGAAAGTGCCTCAGGGCAATTGTAAATAAATGTTTCCGTCTTTTTATATTAAACATAATATTGCAAAGCAGTCTTGTATTTGTTAGTATTTATTAACAGATATATCCAATCAACATTTATTTTTCTTTACAATCAACAGTTCTATTACTATTTTACAATAAATACATATTTTCCTTTTTTGCAAACAATTGTATACTGCCTCTTATTATACACGTAGCTGTATATATATATCAGCTGTTATAATACATCACATAAAGCCACCAAAGCCTGCCAAGGCATCGCTGTCCCAGTCAGAGTCAGAGTCGGTAAAGTCCTGCGCCTCGGGGGCGTGGATCGGGGAGAAGTGGCTGAACCGATCTCCTGCGGACATCACGCATGGATACTGGATTTGGCATCCGTTATCCTTCGGCGATGACCTGCTGAAGTTATTCTGCGAGGGAATGGGAGGAATCACAACTTTCATCTCTGGGCCGATGGTCTTGTTGGGGGGGAAGTTGTCATATTCCACCAGAACCTTCGGGCCCTGGTTGGCGGGCATGTTGGCTTCCATCTTGGGCTGATGCTCGTTCTCTTTGGGATACAGATGGACGTTACAGCACGGCACGTTGACGCTCAGCTCGTGTCGCTGCATCTGATCAGGCTTTGCTCTCGACCCCTCTTTGTCGTAGATGCAGGAGGCAGGCGTGTGGTCGTAGCTGCTGGGCTTGGCGGGCATGCTGGTTCTGTGAGGGTCATCTGTGCTCTGGTGCATGGAAGGTCTGAAACTGTCCTCCAGTCCAAAACCTGCAATCCTGTGGGCCTCGGCTCCATGATTGTTGTCATACACTGGAAGAGAAAAGAAGAGTAGGGCGATTAGCTTTGAAATACAATTAAAGTGTTACTTTGCTCATTTACTCATTCATCACACTGGAGGGAGAAAAAGCTACATTTTTCATGGCGATCAAGGGTAGAAGTGAACACCAAGAGAATATTGGCCATTTTCCAAATGTAATAATAATCTTTATTTGTTTTATTTCTCAGAGGGAACACATTCATGCCTTGCTTCCAGATTTTTTATAATTTTCCTATGTAACAGATTGGGAGTGAAATCCCATAATTCACTGCTTCCAGAATGCCATTTTTATAAAAACATGTTACATTGATTAGAAGCTTGTAGAAATGTAGAATTCTTATGGGTATACCAACAAAATCAGTGGGTCCATACAATCTGTCTCCTATTTATTATCTATGAGCCTCAGATGTTATACCTGGTGACATGATACGTTTGAGACTTAGTTATTTCTATTCCTTTTAATATATATTTGATAAAACGTTCCAAGGCCATGGGAATAAAATTGAATTCTTAATCTAAGGACGGTACCCAAAACAAGAAAACAATGATTTTCTGCATTATTTACCTTTCTCTGGGCCCATCCTGCTCTGGAGCTGGCTGAATGGGCTCGCTGCTGGCAGTGTGGGGACCTTCATGGACCCTGAGGAGCCCACCTGGCGACGAGACTTGGCCCTTCTGTTCTGAAACCACACCTGAAACGTGTGCATGAAAGAAATAAGTCAGTTTAACCATTCACAATAAGTTGTTTTCTGATGTACTTTAATTGTTTTGATCAAATGGCTTATTGAAAAATCTCTCAACATCTTTGATTGATCTTTTAATTTACCTGAATTCTGGACTCAGGAAGCCCGGTCAGAGCCTCCAGTCTCTCCCTCAGGTAGATGTCAGGATATTTAGTATCCGAGTAAACTTTCTCCAGCACCTCGATTTGCTGCTGGGTGAAGTTAGTCCTCTTTCTCCTGTGGGTCAGTATTGCCACGCATTTCTCTGCCCGTGGCGCTGAGTTCGCAGAGTTGAAGTAGTTGGTCACATCTGGAGCTCCATAATCTGGAAAGAAAGCGTGCAGAAATAAGTAAGAGCCAAAGAAACATGACGAAGGACATGTTTCTTGCACAGGAAGCAGCTGCAAAGTCGTGATGGACTGTTACCAGTGGTGTAGGCTACTTAATAGCTTTTGCAAAATGCAGTCTTATTCGTATTCCTTGCCACCTACCTGAGTTCACCATGCTGTTCGTCTGCAAAGGTCCCTCGTGATACATCTGGAAATGATTCAGATCCCCGACTCGCATATTCCCATGAACTGAAGACATGTTCCTCTTCGTATTATTTCCAGCGACTGTCTGAGTTTGAGAGGTGCGCTGCTCGCTGGGGTTAAATCCCCCCGGCGATCAAAGGTGACGCTGGCTATGTGTGAATGGGGCAGCCATCGGGGCCGGCTGGCACTGCAGCGGCCGTGCGCAAACTTCAGACGTCTGCAGGCCTCCGGAGGTGTGAAGGCCTCGCACCTGGGACGGTGGAGCGGCCGCAGGTCTCTTAAAAGGGTTTTAATGGAATCTGCATGCTCAATACACATCGGCAGTGAAAACATGTATCCGCTTTGGAATGGGTGAAGTAATAATGGACATGTAGCCAGAGAGACAGTCGGAAACTGCTATTTCCTCAACGGGTAACCCTCACACGGACTGCTGTATGTTGCTGTAGTGAATACATATTATTGCTGTATCATATGGTCTCCGGTCAAAGTCTTTATGTTGTGAAAAGTGACATTTATTTCCAAGTATTTAAACAACTGAATATATGCGTAATTTGCGAAGACTGTACGCTATAGTTTCCTGCTATGTGTTTGAAATGTGTGTGTAGGCCTACATAATAACAGACACGATTCAAATATCACATTAGTTCAACATTAAGATTTTATTACATGTTTTGTTTTTATTTTAATAAAAATAATATCATTCAATATGTATTTAGGCTTATTCTGAATGATTCTGCATCTCGGCCTTTATTCTACCAGGATTATACTTTGTCTTGGTGATTGTTTTTCCATAAATGTAAAAAAAATGTTATTTTTGAAGAACATATTCAGGTCTTTGAAGGTCTACTCCACACTGGTGTATATAGGAAATATATGCTTCCTGCCCCCTTTCAGTGGCAACAAAGTTAATCTCAATACACAAACCTCAAAAGTAAGCAGGAGTGGGCACTTGTTATTGAATGGCTCAACTTCAATTGATTCAGGAGGGATCAAGTCAATAGGTCAGGTAGAACCACAGACAGACTAATTTGTTTACACATATTTGGACAATAATGATCTCAGGGGGGCAGTTTACAGTAAACCTCTTCTTATGTCTCTATATTATCTTGTGGCATTTTCCTTTTTTCCCTGTATATATGAATTATGTTGTCTTGTCATCTTGTTTTATATCTTAGATTCTGGATTTTGATTGCCTTATAATATTTCTGTTTAAATATAAAGCTCTTTATTTTTGGAGGGGCTATATATAAAGCTTTCATTATAGATTCAAGATGTAAGGCTTTATTGTCATGTGCACAGTAGCTATGGATATGACAATGAAAAGCTAAAGTCCCTGGCTCTTCCATCAATGCAACATAATATGTATAGGAAATAAAACAAACAAAACCAATAATAATAATAGTGCAAGAAATAACAGAATAGATATAACAATTATGAGTATTATACATAATGGTTGCATAGCTCGTGTCCTACGTCAGAGTGATTTTTTGTTATTTACATACATGGGCAATTATAGATTCAATTTCATGCATCATATTTAATTACGTTGGGTGTGGGGAGACACTATTGCATATAAAATGCGTTCCAGATCTTTACTGCATCATCATATATGATTTATTTGATGCAGCTGTGACTGGTTTAAGTCATTGTGGAGTAGATTGTATGAAGTTAAACTTGCAATGCACAAAGAGACCTGTAACACAGACTAAAAAAAAACACCAACAGTTTTCTCTGGTTATATTGGTTGAGCTCTGTGGGAAAATAACTTGACAGCCATCGTGTCATTTCACATCCAAAACATCACTTTTTGATCTCTGTACTGTGACACATACAGCATTGTTCAGGTAGGATGTGCTTGATGGTAAAGACATTCACAGTTCACAGACTGCTTTGTCTTTGAGCCCTAATTGGGTATTGCCTGTGTGCACAGACCAGATTGCTATGCTAAAATCAGGCTGTTGAAGTTCCTGATCTTTGTAATGGACTGACAATGTTTTCTGAGAGCGGAAATGAACAGCAATGCTTCATCGGTCATCTGTGGCTTCAAAGCTCTTCAGGCATGAAAATATGATTTATGTATGTAAAGTTTATTGGTAAAACCCTACTGTGATTCACGCTCTACCTTTTCTTTCAATTTATATTTAAATCTGTTATTAAACCATGGTGTACTTATATGTTATTTGTTATTTTTACCTATTGTGTTTTTATTATAATATGTTAGTCTACTATTTATTATTAATCTGCACTCTTGCTGTTGTTACTGGTTAAATGTCCCTGTTGCAGGACAAATAAAGGAATTCTGATTCTTAAAGTATGTAGCATTATCCAATTCCACACACCACATTATTTATAGTCTAAGCTACTTGCTATGATGTCCCTGGATGGGCCCTTAAAATGCATAAAACACAAACACTCTACATTAGGTACATACACAAAACCCACAACTTAAAAATTAACACGAAAATGCAGTCTAAACATAACATAACAGGAAACTAGCTAATACTGACTGATCCCTCTTACAAAATGTTCAGTTGAAGTGATCCCAGTCATGATCCAGTTGAGATCGTTTCCAGAGGTTGATCACCCAAACAGAAAAAGCTGTTTGTCCAAATGAAGATTTACATGATCCTGATGGACCTTTATTTTATTATTGAGCACAAAACTATGAGTGGAACCACAAGATCACTGAGCACATGTTAGGCCTTGTTATGTGGGCATTCATGGATATCTTTACACCGATGACATTTAAATATGTTCAATTTCCTAAGACCAAAGAGATGATGTGATCTTATTGCTTCATTGTATATCATGAGAGGTTTGTTTATTGTATTGTTGTTTATGTTGCTGTTTATGTTGCTTTGACCAAAATAAGATATAAAAGATCATCGTTTATTACTGTCACAGTTGTAGCAGCATGAAATAGTAGTTTCTAGTAAGTTAAGAAGTATTTACATTTTCTTTGGTAACCTTGCTCACTATCATGAATAGGAAGTCAGCATTGCTGTTGTTACGCATGTTTAATTTTGGTGTTTTTATTAAGTCAGCATTTTTAAAATGGCATCCCATGACATCTTTTTTTGACAAAATAGATTAAAAATAATGCTGGTATATTGTAGTAAACAGCCTGCACTTTAAAACATCAAACAGTCAAAAACACTTTGGGATTTCTACTGGCCATTTCCAGTTGGCAGCTTACTGTAGACACAAACAAAAGCATGTTCACACCTTTCAAGTCTGACCAATGTTTAGCCCACAGTTTGACCTGACCACTATACATTTAACCTGCAGACAGACAGGTAAACTATCCTCACAAGTTTGCAGGTACATGTTAAAATGTCATTGTCTTATGGGCCGTTGGTATAAGTTTGGCAGTTGTGTATTTGAGGGATGTTTTATAGTTACTTTACTTATAATTCATTGTAAAGGCTCATGGCAATCACAAGCAGAAGATGAGTATGATGATAGTGTGTGTACATATCTTCTAAGCAAACAATTGTAAACATTATTTGAATACATTTCGTTAATATAAGAGCTGGATCGAAAAGGTCCCTGGCCTAATACATTGACAATAAGTGTTAGCTTATTACAGGAAATATGCCATTGCTGAAAAAAAAACATGTCAGTACAGGAAATGCTGATGATATATTTGAGGTATTTTAGCTTTGGTGTCTTTGTTACATAGTTTGACCATCATGTTTATTTTAGAGCTTTAATTACCCCATTAAATGGATCCCAAAATGTTTATGTTTTTATAAAAAGGACTGCAAGCCAAAATAATACTATCATATTTAAACTCCAAAATATTAATATTGTTAACAGCGCAATCTATTTTATATATAAAAAGTCATTTCAAATTCCACAATAACATATTTTCATGATAAAATAAACCATTGAATAAAAAAAATAAAAAAACGTTATGCATTGTATAAAAAACAAAAAAAAAGCATTCAAAGGAAATTCCGATTTATAACACTCCCAATTGTTAAAAAGTAAATCATTTGTGTAAATATTTATCTGATCTGTTAATGCGACGTCATTATTTACATCGAGGGAAGAAAAAACCTCCCGGAACTTCCGCCAAGACTAAACGGAAGTAGGTACGTGGCCGCTTCAGCTGACAGTCTACATGATGGCGACAGAGGTTCAGAGCGGCGACCTCGACAGTGCTACTTCAAGCCGGCTCGAAGTTTCTATCGATGGCCTCACCCTCAGTCCCGACCCGGAGGACGAGCAGCTCCAGGCCCAGGAGCCGGAGCCCGAAGCCGCGGAGCCCGAGACCGACACACCGGCTGCAGCGGGAGGGGAAGATGGAGAGACAGCCAGATCAGCCATAGAGAGGAAATGGGGCTTTCCTCTGCTGGAGCTGTATGGAATGGGCCTTCAATTCTTCAAAGGTATTTTACATGTGTTATAAATCTCACGCATGTCACGTAAAGAAGCAGGTAGCAGGAAGACCCGACTTAAATACGAGTCACCCGTTCGGTGGAGTTAGCCGTTTGCTAACGTTAGCTGTTAGCTGTCACCGGGGCTAATGCTGTCAGCCGCAACATTTCATTAGCTTCAAAGCTAACCAGCAGTCAGCGCAGCTAACAGGCTGCTAGCTGGTTGTTAAAGGGGAAAATAAGCACGCCACTTCCGAGTGTGTCAATACGTGGCCTCAAAACAATATCATCCATATTTTTCCCTGGTGTTGTGTACCTTCTTTGTACTTTTATTTGTGTTTTGGAAAGAATAACCTGGCTTGTCAAGCGACTGCTTCATCAGCTGTAATGTAAGACGCTGTTCATGCTAACTGAATGGTGCCTCATAGTGATTTGTTTGTGGGCTTTAAACACGCCCTGCCCTGTCATTGATGCGGCTAAAGGGAGCCTGCATGTCAGCTGCTTACACATATCTTTCTCTGATCAATTAGACGCTGACAGATCACCACTGTGCCTTAGAAGTTGGTTATTCCTTGCATTATATGGTCTGATCTGAGCTCAACCCATTTATATCGCTGCTAAAAGCCACGTTTCCAGTTCCCACAGGGTTGTATGACCACTGGAACTGTTTTACAGTTTAACTGCCTACTCATATGATCCGTGCACATG